CATATCACTTCTCATTTTTTAAATAAAGAAAAAAAAAGCAATAGAATCATATAATTTCTCCAATTAAAAAAGATAAAAGAAAAAATCATAGTGATTCTCTATTATTTTTATAGAAATTTTAAAAAATTCCTTTATATAAATATATCAATCTAAAAAAACGATAAGTGAGATATTCAAATCCTAATTTTCTATAAAAGCAATTTTCTAATTTGACACTTTTGAAAGTACCATCATCCGTTTGAACTTAAAAGATTTTCTAATTTAATTTAATTATGAATTTTGAGATTGCTAATTCATAAATTTTTTTTTAATAAATTTTAAGTGAAGCCACCCTCAACAAAAATCCTGGATTCGTCACTTCATAGTTCAAAAGGTTAAAGTACCTATATCTAACTAAAAGATCGTGAATTCGAATCTCACACCTTCTTCGTATTGGAGTACAAAAATTCTTCCTTTCTAGTATTGCATGAATATCATGGAAAGAAAGAGAACATCTTTTTTCTCTAATTTATGTATTTTGTCATTCAATAGCATCTTATTTCAAATCAAATGGACATTTGCTTGTGCCCAATTGGACCATTTTTCTTGGCTTATGTGTCTCAACTTTTTGGTGGGTGGTTTAAAATTTAAAATTTTATTTTTTCCATGTACTTTATAATTTTGATTTATTTTGACACCTTACTTTTAAAATATTTATTTTGATGATTGTATTTTTAATTTTTTTCATTTTAGTTATTATACTTTTAAAATATTCATTTTGACGTTTTAAAAAATGACCAACTTGATTAATATTTACAAAATTTTATACAAAATGGAAATCATTTAATATAATTTAATCTATACATTTCAAAAAAAGAATTTTATTGAATGAAGTGTCATGCTAAAATTAAATGAGATAAAAATAATAATAAATAGATCAAGTTAGTTTACTTTTTAAAAGTACATAGATCAAAACAAACGTTTTGAAGATGCACAACTAAATATTCAAGTAAGAATAATAAAAGGAGTCAGATTGACATCTATTCTTTTTCTTGAGATCGGAGATTCAAACCTCAATAACTTCAATTTGTTGTACTATATATATACGAATTGAACCTCAATATAAAAAATGCTTCGTGCGTGTTTAATAATATATTTGTAAATTAATGCTAGTTACCAACTAAATATCTATATCATAGATTCATCTACGGAATCGACACCAGTAACTCCAATAAATACCCGCATCAACACATAAATTTACATATTTAATTTCAGTCGTGACATCTATATGTGATAATAGAAATAACTAAAATAGTCCTTTTACAAAAAGGAAAAATTCATAGACTAACCGACATTTTGAAAACCTATAGACTAAAATGCAACCAAGTAAAATAGACCATACGAACCTTCAAAAATAAAAAATGAGATACAAACATTAACTTTAACATTAAAGTAGAAATTGATAAATTAAATTACAACGTAATTGTAACTTTTCAAAATCCAAAAGAGGATACAAAAAAAACATGCCCATCAAAGCCTTTGGCGCATGGTATTTAAGAAATAAATACAATAATATGGATCCTAATATTTTGAACAACCCTCCCTTATTACATCAAAAGAAAGTGTTTAATTGTTTATTATCACTATGATTCATCCCAAATGAGTAGAATTCAATACATGCTACTACATCGAGATCCATTTCCATGAGAAAAAACAATAATACATGGAAACTCTCTCGGCTAAAAGAAGGCAAAAGGAAGGGAAAAAAATCGAAAAAATGTCATCTTGTTGAAGAAACTCAAAAGAATTTCGTCCTTGATAAATCCTAACACCAGTTATCAGAATTTTGTGAACATGACTTGAATTGTTTACATTAAGATGCGGAGGACAGCCAGACCCACGGCAGATATCGAAACAAGGGTACCGATGCAGTACTTTATTACATCGTATTTTGCAGCTTCCAGTTGAGCCCTGAGAGCATGAATTTCCTGAAATTTTGACAAACAAGGATAAACATCTGGAAGGATTAACTCTATCGAGTAAAATCAACGTTTCTTCGAGCTCACGAACTAGACTTATGAACTCGAGTTCAGTAAATTGGAGTACAAATTTTTGGTATGTAAATGTGTTTATCCAACTACGAACTTGTTAGTTATACAGGTCACATAAACTCAAACTTATGAGACTTTTATACTACATCTTAAGTAAATATAAATTGCATAACCTCATAGATTTAAGTAACATGCCAGTCTCGGATTTAATAAAATTGTAAGCCAAACATCCCCGGAAAGTTGTTGGTCTTACCCGATCAAGTTTATTAGTTAGGTTGGTTGTTTCAGCATTCTGATTAGCTAGCTCATCCCGTATCCTCCTGCAGTTGTGAAAAACAAACTTGTAAGAAAACGCAAAAATCGAACCAAAATGGATGCTCTACCAGACTGTCGTGCTTCTTTATACATGAAAAAGTTCACTTACCCTCTTTCAAGATTCAAATCCAATCGTTGTCCAGCTGTGACTTTGTCGATTTCATACCTGCGCCATAATCAAAGGTCTTTGCACAAATAAGATCAATTCAATAGAGTACAAAGTTAATGTCTAAAAAATGTAGTACATGTTTTGGAGAAACTGAGGCATGGTAAAACAAACCTCAACTCGCTGCGCATCTTTTCTATATCGTTTCGGAGTTTTTCAGTCTCGTGTCCCAATAAAGAAAAATGGTGTCCCTACATAAAATGTGTACGATCCAGTGCTCAGAGAACATAAACTAGCAAACCTTACTACACCTACATCATAAAGGTACTTTTCCAAGGTAAATCAACAGGAAAAAATTAGAAACATTTCAGAAAAGTTCTGCAGCAGTAAGAAAAACGGAAGTCTCTGTAAAACTCCCTCAGACAAAAGAGATAAGATTTTGATAACATCCTCTAAAATCAGATCTCTTAAAATCCTTCCAGTAGCATCCCGGAGCTCCATGGTATACAAAAATATTAAATTTTGTACAGTGAAAACACAACACCATAATAGTTTGAAAAATCCAAACCACAGAGTAAACAATGGGCCGGTACAAATTCCATGGACCTCAAGGCATGTCAAGTTTGCAGCCCACCAAGAGCTATTCAGCGGCAATCTCAGTTGTCTGGCATCAGCCAGATTGCCACTTAAGCTATGTGGCATTAAACAAATATAATCCCACTAAGAATCGATCCCATAACCTGAAAAGCATATAAATTTATGGTTTGTCCCTTTGACTACAGAATCAACTCATGGTAGTTCATGCCCCAATCAAGCCTTTAATTATTTCAGGTACGAAAATTAGGAGTAGATCATCACATCAGTTTAGAATGTTTCTGCTCTGTTCAAACACTGGAACAATAGTAGTCTGTCTAAGAATGCTATGATACAGGACTACAATGGAAACTAAATAGTTGAACAATATCATCAAAAGAAAATTTCAATTCAAGACTTTCCCCATTATTTTGTTGCTAAAACAAACAAATCAGAGATTATTATAAGTAGATACTGTCATCTAACCAGACTAGAAAACTAGGACAGTAAATCTGCAAATAGCCAATAGCAAAATCCAATGCTAAACGGACCAGCATTAATTAAAATGCAGAAGACGAAATTCAAATATCTCTTTCATTATATTCATTAGAGAATCATGCAAACGATTTTTGTTTAAGAAGTACAGCAACTAAAAAGGGCATACAAGTGGATACCTGTGAACTTTGAACTTCCGATTTGAATTTTGATAAATTGCCATCCTGGATCATTTCAATCTACAAACAATAATGATATCCAATTAAAGATCAGTAGATGACAAACAATACAAAACAAGGTAAAATGATAGATGTTATATATGCTCATTTCATTAAAAATCTCGTCTTGTTGTCATCATTGAACAATGCCAACATTAGCTGAATTTTAAACATATAAAAATAAGAGTACTTTAAAAGTTAAAACTCACTTTCTGCATCTCCCCCTTTGAAACAAATGAGTGAGATACATTTTCCAAGCTATCATTTAACACTTCAGTAATGGCAGCTGTTATTGCCTCAGCTTGATTTGAGGGCACTCCTTGACCTTCCAATTTCCTAACCTGGAAGAAAAGGCATTGTATCATTTTCCAGTAGCCCTTTCGAGAGATCAAAGACTCACTATTTCTCATTCAATTTTCCTTCAGATATATTCCCATGGGAAATCATATAAAAGAAAAATGCAAGCGACTCAAAATTTTCCAATAAAACTGACTTGTAAAAAAGAAAAAGAATAAAGAGCGGGAAATTACTAGGGCTAAAGTGTCGACTAGAAACAATCGCTTTCCGTTAGATTTCACAAGATGAGAGATCTGCCTACATTCACAGTGTCTGTACCAGGAAATCAAAGAGATGGAAGCCGATAAACTAGTTGCAGAACGGTCGTAGATTGCGCTTTCAAACGAAGACACCTTCGAAGCTCCAAACCTTCGAAATCCTGAACTGGTTACCAATTGCCCCACCCGCTTAAAAGCCGCCCCAGCGGCCATTCGATTCTGTGGCAACATTGCGAAAGTTTTTAACAAAACTAGATTAACGAAACCCTAGCAATTCCATCAGACTTCAGAAATTTCGATTGAAGAACAGAAAAACATTCGTCACAATCTTTCCACACAATCCCACCTCCCCATTTCGCGCGGAAGAAGATGCAAGAAAACAAAAACAAATCATCAAAATACCTAGCACAACAATCGCATAATCAAAATCATCAACCGGTTCTAGCTCCATCTATTTTTCTCCGCAACCAACCGCCCAAGAAAGCACAAGCAAAAGAGCTAGTAACTACCATTTTCCATCTCTCCCACAGAGAATCAAAAAAGAGAGAAAAACAATAAACCATTTCTAAAGGAACTTAGCCATTAAACTGACCTCTATTAGATGCAAGATCGAAGCACGAATCGAGGTCTCCAAAGTCGCAAACGGATTAACAAAAAAATTGGAGGGAGAAAGGCCTTTTTGTAGGGAAGAAGATGATGATCCGAGCCACCAGTAGTCAAAAAACGTGCAACGGCGGGGAACTTTCGCGGTTACTTCGCGAGCAAACAAAGAACTTCGGAGGAATACGCCTCAAAATTCTTACGCTCATTTTCTGATGAACTAAAAAAACGGATGGCTCAAAGAGGAAAGAGCTTCTTCTCACCTTTCACATGGAAAATTTTCTCAATTTCATTTCCTGTTTATTATTACAGACCGCATCCACGATGGTTTTTGTGTCTCAATAAAATATTAACTAATTATTTAGGCTGCTCTCCATCTAAAAAAGAAAAAAAAAAAAAGAGAGAATATTTTATTTAAAATATTTAACGAAGTTCGAGTTAGGTTTGAATTTGGGTAGAACTCATGTTTGGAATGAGTTATAAGTGAGAGGAAACCATGAAGTTTTATTATATAGTTTTTGGCTATGGATTATGAATCAATTTGAGAAAAACCCGATGATAAATACATTTATTAGACCTTAATCATCTCGATCATAATTAACTATAAATAAAAATTTAACAGATAGCTAGTTTGTGGTTTAACTTTATTGAATGATATACTAATTTATACACTATACTAGTAATAGAAATGATAGTTGAAATCCAATTACTTTAATCATGAAAAATGTTTAATTTTGAAGTTGGCATAAAGCACTAATCTTCACATCTTAAAATCAAAAAAATAAACACATATTTCACATTCAATTGCTAAAGTCATTTCTGCCCAGATCAAAGTTCTTAATATTTGAGCATTTTAGGACTACACCCATCGATATTTGTATTGTGATATCTTGAAGAGGAACATTGAGATGCGAGAGTAATCCTAAAGCTTTTTAATCAAGTAGAATTTAGAGTAAGTAGACAATATTAGAGAAATTGTAAATAGTCCCGAAATGAGAAAAAAAATTGAGTAAAATCTAAGTAGAATTCAAAATAAAAACTACGTGAGCTTAAGTCCAAATGGTTAACTTCATATCATTATAAAAATATCGAAGCACTAACCAACCTAAGAAGAATCGTCAAGTTTAGATAGAAATCAACCAATTACCATTAGCACCACGGTGGTTGAAATTCATTGCAAAACAATATTGAATAATTCCAGGAAAAAAAAAAAGAGTCACTTCCGAAGAGTGATTTCTCATAAAAGTTTCCTTCAATGTATTTTACATAGAATAGTACACATTACATCCTTTTTCCAACAGTTCCACAAAGGGAAAATTTGAGCCCTGAACCATAGAAGTTTCCCTCAGGTTCAATGATAACAAAAAGTGGGCAACTTTGGCTCCCAATACAACAATGGTTACATGACTTACATTCTTCTTCATCATTCATATATCAAATAGCAATCTTGTTCTTTCTCTCATGCACATGACTTTGCGTCAACCTGCCAAACTCAACACGGACCTTGGCCGTTGCCGCTACGACCACCGCGCACACAGATCGACCAACACGGAGAATCCTGCAAAGCATCAGATGCAGAACAGAATATGGATATTATCTCCTCCTATTGCTTGCTAAAACTGCTTCTAAAAACTGGATAATAAGTTTCCAGTTCAAGCTGCTCCAAGATTTGCCTAGTAGCCCATAGATAGGAGGAGTGGCCTTCTATCACACCTGTTACATCAACCTGCAAATCCAATGAATGACCATTATGGTCCCAAACAGCAGTGTTATAAAAGAACTGGATGTGGAAATAAATGAAAAGTAAATAACATTAAGTTTCCGTCCTGGAAATAAAAAGGAAATGCAAAAATTACCCAAAACTATAGAGATTATTACTATCATAGCTGAACTTTCAATTTGAACAATTATCCCGAACTTTTAAAATCAGAGCAATTAAATTCTATCTTTATAACTCATTAGTTGAAGTTCAAAAACCGCACAAGTTACTGAGAATTTAAAGCTATGTAGGAAACAAAATTTCCATTCTACAGGAGCAATTATGAAGAGTAATAACAAGTAAAAGAATGGAAGTAAGAAGCAACCACATTAGAACTTTTGACAACCTTTAATCGAACTCTGTCGTGGCTTTCTACTGACTCTACAGATTAAACTATGATGATAAAGATTATAATGGAAAAAACAACAGAAAACACATATACTCTTGCAGAAGTATGTCTCGTCTTTGTAACTATCACTCAAAGAAATAAGGATCCAATGTGATAGTGGCTAAGAAATAAAGTAACCAGCCACTAATTGCTGTATTTTCTTTTCTTTTATAGGAACTAATTACGGTGTGTTCATAAATAAAATTGAAAAAACCACATCTAGAAATGTACAACCCAAACATCTAATCATATCATTTTCCTCCAAACTTCCAATATTGTGGCAATTAAATCACATCACTTTGAAGTTACAACTGTACCATTTAATCATCTTGATTTCACACGCACGAACGGTAATTATTTAAATTGAAAATACCAAGATGCTGTAACAACTTCTAACTTCTATACTTCTAATGTGAGTTTTTGAAATTTTACGAAAAACATAAAATATAGCTTTAAAGATCATCAGACAATTCTAAAAAACAATGAGCAATGAGGAAACTAGAATAATAATATTACATTCTCGATGCCAGGGACATCGATAGGTTGAATTCCAGCCAACCCTTGAGTAAGTAGACTGTAGAGAAAAAACATATGTTAGTTTGGAATGTTAAAACGCACGGGAGAGAAATTTGCATAATATATTCCATACGTATGACCGAGTTGCCAAATTATGTAGCTCCAACTCATTGCTAACGAGATCACTTATGATTAAAGAGTGAGCCAACCAACTAATGCAAGGATATATTATCATCTGCTGTAAAAAATATTCTTACCATCCAGAATGGAATTCTTTCAATGTATTCTCTAAAAACAATTTCAAAATCATAGCACTTCCTTAAAAAATAGAGAACTATTGAGATAAATCATCTCAAATGGTCTAGGTAAATCATCTTTTGGAATAAGATAGTTTATCAAAAGACGGGGTAAATTATTTCTAGATTTATCCAAAATCGTCTGTCTAAAACAGAATTTGCTAAAGTGATATTATTTTGAAACCCACCTCTTCCTAATAGTTTCTTTTTCCAAAAATCGACCTTATATATTTGTAAAAAACCAAATGAGAATCGGTCCTATCTAATATATGATCACAGCAAAAGAGCAACTGACTTGAATTCAAGTCGGCTTCAAATTCTCAATCAGTACCTGGCACGGAAAGCAATTCCAAGCATCCAATCATTTGCGGAGTACACATTCACAAACCTTCCAGCAACCATCTGTAGAACAGCAGCAGGTATAAGATACGGAATGTGTAGTAATTAGTAAACAAAGTATTCGCACAGAGAAACAGAAAAAAAAATCAAGTTGGGGGAAGTGCTTTTTAGTGTAGAAACATCTGGTCACCTTTCTGGCAGCTTCCCAATTCTGATCTTTAATTGATATGGGTGCTCCAAGAAGAACAACTCTTTCCACAAGCTCAGCTGATAATATTTAAATATAGTAAGATAATTCACAAAAAAGCAGATTGTTGAAAAATGATGATACCATTTTTTTCAGTCTCAGCCAAATATTGGAGACACTTGAATATTACACGTGCACCAAGTGAGTGCCCCACAAGTGTCACAGGCCTGAAATCATCGTAGGAGAAGCTATCACCACTTTTTGGAAAATATAACCAACTATAATTTTTTTCTTTTTTAATACGAACTAACTATAATTTTAAGGTACGAATGTTGCACCTGTTCCCTTGTAAACCTTTACACAACACATCAGCGAGCATTCTACCAGCTTTGTCTGATCTATACAGAAAATAGAAAGAAAACAAAAATTCTGCTGAAAAATGCAATTCAGAAATTGTCTGAGCATAATTTAGAGTGAGAATAAGATGTCAGATCCTATGAGCTGACATCTGTGTGGAGAGGTTTTAAGCTTCTCGAATATCAATTGTAGCATATTCTAGATGAACGTGAGAAAATGCAAAACATGCTAATAATCTAGGCTATAACATGAAGACGGAGAAGTTCATTGAAAGGAACAGGAGATTCTGGCATGTATCTAATCTCGATTAATTAGCCTAGGCTATGACACGAAGGCAAGAAGACTAGTCTATTCTTTAATCACTTTCACCATCGGCCAGATCTTATCCCATGACTCTAATAGTCATGTATTCTAGAGTTGCAGGATCATGTAGATAGAAGCAAGCTCCACAATTTCATTAAATGGTTCGATGCTTCAGTCTTCTAGTTATTGCACTGCTACACTAAAACCCAAAGATCAATTTGTTAAACATGATTAAATCACCAATTAACCCAAAAGTTTAATCTCATGGATTAGGGTAAATTTAATCATTTATAGGATATCTAACATTCTCCTTTAGGTGTGGGCTTGAAAATTTGAACAAGATCCAACAAGTGAAAATCAATATTAAATGAGGAAGGATAATACAAGAGCTTCAAACCTCCTATAAAAAAAAATGTTCAAACTTCTTGCTTTGATACCATATTAAATATAATTAAATCACCAATTAACCCAAGGTTTAAGCTCATGGGGTTAGGATAGATTTAATCATTTATAGGATATTTAACACAATTGTTATGGTTTATAAAAACAGGTAATCTTATGGCTAAAAATTCTCTCAGTCCCTGCAGTTTCGGAAAGCAATGAAAACAATCACATGAACGACCACTCATGAAACAACGAAAAGGTTTCCTCAATTTACTTTGGATTTATAACTTGCCCTCAGTCCTTTATAAACTACCGCTACTAACAAGTAACTCCATCACACATGTCTCCAATCCTAACTAGGAATTCCAAGACTGGCTAATAGCACCAAAGAATATATAGTCGAGCAAAAACTTGAACCGTTAATATTTCAGAAACCAGATTGATGACAACTTCCATGCCTATTATTTTTTCTAAAACAATCTGGCACTCCAAACAAATTTGAACCTGAAGGTAGCTCCTCAATCAAAGGAATTACAACCTGTCCACGGCAATTGTCCACGTGCTGTCTATGAAGTCAGTAGCTGCAAGTAAGGTAGCTGGCCAAGCTAGTGCTGCTAAAAGAGAGCTTAGAACAGTCATCATTGCACCTCGCTTCATCAACTCCATTGCAAGTCCTATTATCAAGCAAAATAAAATCATCATTAAGGCAGGAACTTCATTTGTGATCATACTGACTAATAGGCAAAACGTCATAGAAATTAAAAGAAAAAATTACTTGAAGTAAGCCAATCCTGAATTGCAGTGCTTACTGCAATTATATGTTTAGATTCCCACTGCAGTGCATACCTAAACATTAGCAGAGAAAAGAAATTGAACTTGTTCACCCCAATAAAACTTAGTATTAAAACCTCTAGTTTTTAATTAAGTGCCACTATGAGATTAGGTCACAGAGCAAGCAGCAAAAGAGTAGTTTCATAATAGTAAAAACCAAATTATGCTTCAACTACATTCTCGCACGTTCCAACAAACCTAATTGAATATGTTTAAGACCTAGTGTACCTTTCTAAGTTGTCATTTAGTCCTTCCCACGGCCGTACGAAATCTTCCTCATCAAAAGCAAAACCTGACACCGCTATCTCAACTGCTAATCTCTGAAATAAGTAAAATGTTATTAATTTCCATTTTGGAAACCAAGAGATATGAAGTTGCGATAGAATTAATTAAAAAAAAAAAAGATCACACAGATGCTTCTAATGGAGAGATGAAATGCACCAAGTAACAAGCAAGAAACTTACGCCTTGGTTATGATTTTCTCCAATTGATTTAAATTCAAACTCATCAACGCTCCCAATTCTCCTAGCCATTTTGCTTCCTGTAAGTCCTGCTCCAGCAGCTGAGTTGGAAACAATATTGGGGTATTAGCAGAGTTCTCAACTGATCGTTTTCAAGGATTATAATCTCAAGGTTGCCTAGCGAGCCTTTAATTATTTTCAGTCTGATAGAGTTATGTCAATAATGACTTTAAACAGACCACAGAACTAGCATGCAGAACAACAATTAGAACGCCTGGAGTGATGATTGGCATCACTACCATAGTCATCAAGTCAGAATTCAAAATACGAAGATGAAAAGTTAACACTGGAATGAATTGAAATTTGTTTAAGTAAATCTAAACTCCAAAATTCCACTATACTCAGGCAAGTAATCTGCTGTCAACGACTTCTCCATGGTCATTCAAAGCAATGCAACATTCTTAACACAAAAGCAGAAGAGAAACATTGACGTAATATCCCTGGCTTCCTCGTAACTAGTTCCAGCTTGTAATCTCTTGTGGAGCATCAGTGGTGTCTTTCGCAACCATTTCTCAGTCTTCCATCTCATTTTAGCAAAAATGAAGTTTAGTCATGGTTATACCAATGGATAATTGCAGTTGCAGTGTAGAAAATAAGAACTCTTTCGTTAGTTTCAATGATTATGACTGGGTTCATTGATCAAGTTAGAGGTGAAGAGAAAAACATCTTCCTATTACATCAGATTGCAGTGAAGCAGTTTTGGCTGGATAAAGTATTCGTCTTCTTTTGAAAAGGAAAAAGTCAAGAAACAGAGCTTTGATGAAAAGAAGGAAAGATTTGAAGATGGAACCCTCTGGATGCATAAAGTTTAAATATCAGTGGTTGGTTTTCTTTTTTGGTAAGAAAAGAGATTTCATTGATGAATAAAATTACAAGCACTTCATTACACAATGATAGTGTTGAGAGAGTATCACAGTTCCAGCAGGTATTAATAAGAGATGTCCGAGCATTTTCTGGGAAATGATTGAAAATTTAACAGAAGAAAGAAGCAATACAAGAGGAAACATAAAGAAGACAGTGTGTACTCTAAAGATTTCAATAAGATAGGAGAGCACTCATTTTCTCAAGTAGCTACAGAGCTAAAGAAGTACTTTATCATATCCAAAGTTCAAAAATACAAAGAGAATAGAAGAAGATAGAAAGAAAGATTGGAAACAAGAAATAATCTGCAGAAATTTCTTGGGACCAAACCATCATTATTACAAGACTGGATTGTCACAATGCTTGGTATTCCATTTCAAACTCACTTACGAAATAAATGAATGAAGGATGTATGATCAATCCTTTCTTTGTTGAGAAGGCTTTGCTTGGGGAATCAACAAATACCATATTGAAGAGTTGGGCAAGAAGGGGATGGATGACAGTAGGCAAGTTTTTCTTCCCAAATAAAAAAAAATGGACATCCAATAACATAGAAAGCTGGAAGTAATTCCATTGTATGAAGGATGAATTAGTTTAAAGGATTGCCATTAATGCTGTGGAAAGAAAAAGTCTTCGAGCAATTGGAGGTAATTGTGGAGGATTCATACAAAGTGCAAAGAAGTCTATTAACATGTTAGAAAGAACAATAATCGGGGATTTATTTAAATTGTAATAGATCACCCAAAGGAAAAATCATTCTACAAACTGTAGTATCCATTTAAGATTATTAACTGGAAGAGTAGGAGAAGTTCATGGATTTTTCTCTGAAGAATCAGCTTGAAATTTCTTAAAAAATCCCCTTCCAGTCGATGTCTACAACATTGGAAAATTTCTTTGAAAATGAAAAGTCAAAATTTGAAGGTTCTGAAAGAAAAAGAAAAAATTTTGAGAGACATTGAAACAGCAGGCAAATAAATTACAATAAGATGAAAAGATATTCAAAGGAGTGGTCCTGTCAACATAACCGATTCGGAAAGAAGACTGACTTTAATGATGGATGGGTGTATGGGAAATCTACAAAAAATAGAATCACATGGGTGGGTGGACTAGACAACTGTAGTGATCTAAAAGTCCCTCAGAACACAGAAGAGTAAACCTCAAATTTCTGGTTATTCTAAGGAAAAAACAAAGAGGCAACATTATGTAACAATTTGGAAGGTTTTATGAGAACCAGTAAAGATTCTGCCAGTAAAGCTGTCACAGAATTAACTGATATTTCAGGATAGGAGGGAACTTCAACAAGTCAGGCAACTTAAATATTCATCAGTTTAGTGATGAGAGTTTCCAAGATAATTTCACATCCAAGTTGGAGAGAACACAATGATCAGCACACACTCTACCAACTTTGGCCAAAATAGAACATCAGTGCCAGTCCTACATTTTCATAGATACTATTGAGTCATGAAAAAAATCATAAAAATATAATGTATCATTTCACCTCCAAAAGATGCAGCAACAGCCACAGAACCAGCAACAGATCCTGCAGCACTGGCAGCTGCAGCAAACCCACTTGCGCCAATGACAGGGATGATGGTACCCAATGTCGGAGCTAAAGCACTAAAGCCTGCGGCAATTGCTGGAGCAGCTAATCCTGTGAACAAGTATAAAAACTTATAAAGAAACAGAAATAATGTACCTAGGACGTGTTTTCCTAGAACTTTTGATAGTTCATAGACGCAAGTAGAGTATACAAATCAAGGGACCAAGTACCTCCTGTAATTGCCATCAAGGTCCCTCCAGTTAATGCAGCTGCACCAATAATACCACCACGTTTCCATTTAGCCCAGTTAGTCTTCTTTGAAGGGCTTTCTTCATCATTTTCTTCCACACTTTTAGCTAGAGCCATGGCTGAGCAAGCAACCATTGTCTCAATCGCTTCCTGAAAAGCAGAAAATACCCACCCGTAAGGAGGGAGGTGGAATGAGAGAAGAAAAAAAAAATCATCTAATAATGGTAAAATGATAATTCCATAGTTGATGAACTACAACATGTGATGCTAGAACGGAATGCAGAGAAACTGAATGCACGATAACGTAACTGTGGGTCCAGATATTGTAATAAAATAACTAAAAATATATTTTATGATTTACACCCAATCCTATGCCACTAACATCTAACATTTGTCATTTAAGGTTCAAGCACCTATACTTTTTATAGCAATAATAATATTAAATAAATAAATAGTAGTCCTTGGAGCCGTTCTGGGGAAAAAAAAGTAGTTGAGAAAGAAGCCAATAAAGGTTAATAAAAAGAAGTGAGGAGGAAGTTAGTTTTGAAAAGTAATATGCTGATTATGAAGATTCCCATATTAATTTTAGTCATGATGTTCATGAGTTAGTGGAGGAATCTGGTGAATTAGAAAATGAACGAAAGTAATGATGGAAGCCTTAATGGAGAACTAGGTAAATTGTTTGAAGAGGAGTGTTAAGGATGAAGCTTTTGGGTTGAGGGTGGTTTATTCATTCTTAATGTGGTATCAAAACGGAAAGTTCTATGTTCGAACTCCTGCATTGTTGTTTCCTCCCCATTTATATTGATTTCCACTTGTTGGGCCTTCTCAATTATCCAAGTCCACAAGTGAGGGGGAGGGTTGAGAATCCATATATATGAATTAAATTTCTTAAGCTTCTTATTCACAGATGGATCCATGGGGAAATAAAGGAAAATAAATAATCATTTATGATGGAAGTTACAGAGGACCTTCACCAATAGTTAATGATCAAATATTGCTATAGGAAAGGTCTGGTGGATTATGATAAAACTCAAACAACTAAAAATATATTGAAATATCAAAAATAAAACAATATGATGACTCCAAGTAATTTGAGGTACTTGAACCCTCCCCTCTCTGGAGTATTCTTACTCAAGCCTAAACCACACTAAATAATTGCTTGTCTCGATCCTTTACCATCCACTCTATTTACAATAAATCGCCCTAACATCTCTTACTATGTATCCATAATATCCTAATAATATTTCTAATTCTATCCTACCAGCATTCCTACCCGATTACTTGAAACATGTAGGATTGCAACTTACACTCATACCAAATCGGAAATACAGTAAAAGGAAGAAACGGAGAAGTAATACTACAGGGAAAAGGGAGTTTATAAATCTGATTCCTACGGTTAACTATGAGAGAAATGTATCGAAGAAGAATATGGAGGGGGCTGTGGTATCTTTATGAAAATTTGAAATTGGAACATAAGGAAATTGGGAGAAGAGGGGGAAGAGTATCTTGATCAGAGAAACGATTACAGGGCGTACTCCTGAAGTTGTAGTTCTACAAGAAAAAAGGATGAAGACGTTGATAAAATTAAAACAAACAAAATTAAATTAAAATGTTAAAATGTTGTCGAGTTCAAAAGTCAGGTTTCTCCTATATGACAAGTGGAAAATTTTTCTTGATAACATGTTTGACCGGATATTTGGAGGGGAAAAGTGCCAAAATATTCGTAGACTTTGTGGCATGAAGGGCTAAATACAGCTGCAAGATTAAAAAAGGATGTTCTACCATGAGTTCATCCTTATGGGTGCCAGTTATGTAAAAATGAAAAACCATCTTTTTTACCAATTGTCCTTTTTAGCTAGTACTGTTAGACTCGATTGCTGCAAGCATTTAGTTGCCTTGGGTTGAACACAACACTTGTTTGGTCACAAGTTGAGGGATGTCAAAAGTTCTATGGATAAGCACAATTACAACTATGGTGTGGGAGTTATGGCTGGAGAGGAACTACTGGGGTTTTTTTATTAGAAACATGACGAAAATGCTTTTCTCTGCAGCAAAGAGGGTGTTGAGTATTGTAGAAAGAGGTGCAATCTCTGTACTAAATAATAATAAAAAGTTAAATAAATAAATTATAAAAGTTGCGTACAAACCATTTTTATCCACTTGACATCAATCCAGGTTGATAATAACCGCAAAGCCACGCGATGCCGGGCGTCATAACCCTTTCTTTGGCGGGAGTGTTTCTTGTCATTTTCACTTATATCTGCCAAACAAGCAGATAGAAGCTCATAGAGAACAACCACTTTTCTATGATAGCTAAGCATTTTTTCCTCATCAATAGGTTGCACAATAGTATCAGTCCATGCACCAACACTTGGCTGTTTAACAACCACTGGGTTAGCATCAGTAATTTCTGCTTGCTTGTCAGTTGCTTCAAAGTTTGATTTTGCCTCGGCAGACAAACACTTCTCTCGACATACATATTCATATTCATGATATTTTTCCTTCTTAGACTGAGAAGATACAAAATCCTTTTCCATATTATCTGCTATACTATCAACAGATTTTGACAGAGCAAGTTCCTGGTCTATCATCTGGGAAGAGTTTTCATTGTCCTCAGATAGCAACCGCAAGAACTGAGACAGCAGAGGTACAAAAGACATGTTACGTTCAAGATTACACGATGGAGTAAAATGGAGGGGGAAACCTAATCACGCATAATGTCTATAATATATTACACAGAGAATTTTTTTTTTTTTTTTTTTGGAAGGAAACAAATATTTCATTCATATTACACAGAGAAATATGCAATAGATAAGTCTAAATGTCTATAAGCTATATCATTGCGAGAGGCAATAAAAAAGGTGCAATGATGTTGAGAAAATGAATGGTATCTTAGTTTATGGGCTGCAGTTCTGCAAGTGAAATAAGATAACATACTGCTCCAATATGATGCTTAGCTGTACCGGATCCTGCAGTTTCCTCAATTCCAGACCAAGCTGCAGAGTCGATCTCTAAAAACCTGATTGCGCGAAAATCAACATTGAGACATTCCTGGGAAGATCAACCAACAAATTCTTGCCAAATAAATATGGTAATTCATTCTTTCTTTTTTTTTTTTTAATTTCTGTGAGGACTAGACAAGAGAGCAATATTCAAACCAACATTGCAGGCAACTCTATTTTTTAAGCCACGAAACAGTCACATGGGTTTATGCACAAAGAACAAGCATGAAGTAAGAACTAGGAAAACTTTGAAATAGAATGTTCGAAGTTCTTAGGCTTTACTCCTCCTAGATGGAAAAAATACTTATATCAAGGGTGTGTTTGGGAGTGATTTTGGCCATTGTCATTGTCAAAATCACCTCCCTTCTCGTTGATCATGTTTGACAAATTAAAATTTTGATTTCAGGAAAGTTTAAAAGCACTTTGAATTGATTTTTAAGGTATCACTTAGATGGTGACTTTAGAAGATCAATTATACTTCAATCTCTTTTTTTAAATCACTTATTCTACCCTAAGTCCCAAACATACCCTAAAAAGGGTTGGACAAATTGATTTTTGTAATACCAAGTTCCTTTCCCATTTATTGTAATGTTTTAGTTCTAGGCTTGTTATTGCATTTCCATCATGTACGTAAGAGCATATAAAGTCGAAATCTAATGCATTTCCATCATGTCAAATCACCCTTCTACACCTAAAAATTGTTAAACGTTGGAGCTATTTCATCTTTCTAATCCATTCACGACAATCAAACAATGAAGAGAAAATTACCAACGCTGCTATCCCCCAGAACGAAATATGATCGATCAGGAAATAAACTTATACGCCGAAATGAACATGGTAAGAGCAAACCTGAATACAGGACGAAGCAGGCCCGTGGATTCGTGGACCCAAAGCTCGGGGTCCTCGGCGACGGAATCACTGCTGCTACCGCTACTACAACTGATTCGGTCCTCCGTCTGAGGCTCCTCACCGGGAAGCCCTAGAGGAAGCGTCTGGTGGATCTGAGCCTGATGAAGAGCAAGTGCAAACAATGCTCCGGAGGCATACCGCTGAGTGGGCGTCAACATCGAAGCCATCTGCATGGATCAGAGACGCAGAAGGTTTTGGGTGTGAAGCAAAAAGGGCTTCCGATTTGTGCATTCCCAAATTAACATGGCCGGACGAAGGCGATTGGATTGGTGGACGACAGTGCTGACTGAGTCGCCATGAATGAGTTGATATAATATATTTGTAATTCTGAGGTTCCTTCTTCTCTCAATCGCTCCGGTCGCGGAAGGGTCGTTTACTTGGTCTTAACGCTTACCGTTGCTTCCTTCCTTCTCCCCATTGCCTGTTTTTTAGTATTGAATTTCCTTCTTTTTTATACTTCAATTCCCCCATTTTTACTATTTCATTTAATGTCATTTTCTCCCAATATTATAAATTCAGAATAAGTTGTTTACTAAGATTGCTTCAAACTTTAAAATTTTTATGATTGAATCATCGAAAAAAGATATACGTAGTTACTAACAATTCTATCTCAAGATGTTGTGAGTTAAGGACTCCTCCACCTTTTTCAAATTCTGATTCATATTGTTCATAGAGAAAAGTACATCGAGAGTATACAGTACATCATTACCCATCCATCTTCTTATACTCATAAAACCCATTTTGTACTGTCCATTTTATATATAGTATGTAGTAAAAGAATTAATTTGTGCGGGAGAGTTTGCAATCAGTGTTTTGTTTGTCATAGGAAAAAATAGAAAAATAACGACAATCAAAATATTGATTCAAACACTTGGTATCTGTGATCATTACCTATTTTTAATGTTTTTTGATATTTTGCCCCTAAACAAATTAATTTTTACTACATACCATATATAAAATGGACAGCCCTTAGGGGATTTTATGAGTGAATGAAAATGGAAGGGGTGTTGTATAGTCCCGTGTACTTTTTTATAAAATAACTGTTAACCATGGTATTAAATATATTTATGGTTCGACATCGATATGAGATGATATTAAAAAACATCAACAAAATATTAAAATATCAACAAAATTTCACTGATATGATATTGATCATTTTAAATTTATTGAGAAACGATGAAACAATTATTTGTTAATTTAAATATTTTGTTCAAATTTTTTATATTTATAACTTTTTCAAAAATATTCATCCACATAGACATTTTATCTATATTTATATCGATATTTCCATAAAATATATTTAATATCATAGTTAGCAGTTATTTTATAAAAAAGTACACAGAACTATACAGCACCCCATCCATTTTCATAATATTAAAAAACATCAACAAAATTTCACTTATATGATATTGATCATTTTAAACTTATTTAGAAATGACCGAAACATATATATATATATATATATATATTGTTCAAGTTTTTTATACTTAATAACTTTTTCAAAAATATTCATCTACATCGACAATTTATCTATATTTCCATCACATTTCTATAAAATTGAAACATCGACATTTAAAACCTTAGTGCTAACTATATTTTCAATAAATTCTTTAAAAAACGCTTCCAAAGTTTGAAAAATTAAGCATTTTGATCCCAAAGTTTTAGAAGGAACGCAGAATTATAATCTTACACGGATCTAATTATCCAAAAATAGAAGTAAAGGCTGATCTGAACAGTGATTGCCAAGTTTGAAGGGTTATGAAAGAGAGATTAAAAAGTGGTTTCTAACGAAATAGAGGACGTCCTGTCCATAAGGCCATAATCAACCAACAGGCGAAGATCAGAATGAAGGATCCATACACCAAGAAAATGCAAGTCTCTAAAACAATCAGGTATTATTGATATGCATGTTATTCCACAGGACTTCTAATTTGCAGGTTTTAGGTTAAAATTACAACAATGTTAACGACGAAGAATGAATGTAAAACCAAATGTGCACTGTATTTGCAATGGACTAGTATCAACTACAGATGCAAAAAATGCATGGACCTCCTCTATTGCATATTACCATTTCCTCCATAATTATATTTACAGACTCCGCTGCCCTTTGGGTGGCGGACGGTAAGAAGACCATCTATTTCCGCCTTTCAACACCGGTTGTCTGTCCCACAGGGAGATCTACACTCTACACTGAATCTTCATTTATGTGTTAAAACAATTGCTCATTTGGCCATTCCAGGATCGGTTGCAGAAATTTCCATCGAGCTTTCGTTTACCTGTGATCCTTTCTAAAGCCATTTTGCAGTGTTATGCTTTGCTTCGGATCTTATTTTCCACAGTATTCCTGCATTAGCCAAAGTTCTGGGAAATTGCCGTAGGTTGTATTTGTCAGAAAGAGTTTTGAATTGGTTTGGTGATATTTTACAAGGTTTTTCGACCCTCCACTTGAATATTGGTTGAAGAACTGTCGAGCGTTTTCTGCAGTTCAAGATTGCTCATCTTTCACTCTAATGTGACATGGAAACTGCAAATTGGCTGCAGTGGAGCTTAATGCATTCACCTTCCCCATCTCAGGTACCGGATTGAAAGCCTCAACGGAGAAAAAGCAATCACTTCTAGAATCCCGTGTTAATTCCTCACTACAATTCACCATCGAAGCCGTGGAAGCCAAACCACTCAAGCACTCCATTGCTTCGACTTCCGCTAACAAATCTGAGACAGATTCATCAACCAAGGAATTGAAGTCATTGGGTTCAGGTTCATCAACAATTGCCTGCCAGTTTATTGCACTTGGGGTTGTATCATGATCATCAATTACTTCAGATGTTTTCAGACCAGATGCAGTTATGAGACTGGAGTTCAAGTCCTCAATAAAAGGTCTACCGGGTGCAGGCGAATACCCACCCCATGCACCCGCTAGATGGCTAGGAAGTTGTCGACCACCCACCAAACTCGATGCGCTACTCCAGCTAGGGCCAGAATCCTGAACAAGAACACTTGAAGATGCAGAATGTTTAATTTCAACGCTTCCACTTATTGGTTTCAGAGCGGAATGAGGAATATCAGGTAAAATTTCTCGGTCTTTCTCTGATGGCTTGACTGAACCCATCAGAGATAGACCACTACAATTGGAGGTCCATTCACGAGAGGAAGCATGTGCAGGTGGAGTGATCCAGTTTTGTCCGGAAGATTGACTAGAACAATCCTCACTACTAGACTGTTTCTTGCGACCAGGTTGACTGTGAATTCCTCCCAAAGTAATATTCTGCGAGTTCTGATCCTCATTACTGGGGCTGTGGTTTTCCTTGGACCGGTGGACTTCTGTCACGGGTGGCTGTAAAGATAATGTAGCTGATGAAAGTAAATTCATTAGGGATGGGTAGGACCACGAACTGTTGTTCTTCAATGAGTCGTCAGCTAGCTCAAGGTTCCCGCTTGGAGACTGATTAGAGTTGACGGTATCTGCAGGTGCACACAAATCTTTAGAAGGTGAACTTGAACCGGTGCTCATCATGGGCTCATTTTCAGCATCACAAATTGCAACATGATCTTTCTGCTCGGAGTTGCTATTCCTGATAACACCCATGGCAAAACGAACAGAATTTGTACCTCCAATCCTTTGATCACTATGATGATCGGAACCACCCAAAGAAAGTTCATTTCCTCGCCCTAGACTCAGTAGATGACTGTTGTGCCATAATGAAGATGTTTTGTTGTGACATCCATTCAATGCGCTGGTTATTGGTATGGAATCATTTTGTGATTCAGTTATCCTCCATACTCTGAGATCAGAAGTGAAGTGTCCGCTATTTTTCCAATTACGTAAATGCGTCAAAGAAAATGGACCCAGAACTTTTCCAGCAGGATCCTGGTATTGCCATATCCTTTCCACTTCCGCATCATTTGAAGAACTTCCTATCCCAATAGAAAGTGGTGGAATTGAGGCTTCAGGTAAGACTACTTGATAATTACCATCAGAGGTCACGGGAGTGGCAGTTTTAACCTCGCTGGGTACATTCCAATTATTTGGCACAAGACCTCTTCCTGCCCACGATGTTTCAGAAGTCCTGTCACTGGGCAAGCAGGCACCTTCTTTATTTACGTAAGCTGGTAAGCAAATATTTCTACTTTGCTCTGAAGTACTACTCGAATTTTGTTGCATAGCACTTCCACTAATATTTGAATTGGTTCCCTTTCTTGGTGAAGTAAGCTCCCCCTCTTTTTCATCAGTGTCACAATTTCTAGATCTCTTGAGACTTCCTGCAAATATATTAATAAATTAACGGACGACTTCTTTAAGGAAGAACTTGCAAATAGTTCCATAAGAACACAAGACAGTTGACAGACCTTGTCTTTTCTTGTTTGATTCATCCTTGTCTTCTTCAGACTCATAGCTTGGATCCATAGTTGGATCAGAACGTACTTCAAGAATTTCGAGAAGCCTACGCTGTCGTTCTTCAGGTGACTTGAGACGATGTAATCTCTCTGCATGATCTCTTATTGTATGGCATAGTCAAGGAATACCATAAAAGTTCAACCACTTTAAAATTCAAAAGACTAAAACACAAATACAATTATCCACACCAGCAGACCAAAGGTAGTGTAAGTTAACAAAACCAGGAATCTTAGATAACTTGTCCATTGAAAAGGTTCAGTAAAAGTTAATTCAAAACAAAAGGCAAAAACCTAAAATTAAAAAGAACCTCACCTTGCATTGATAAATTCAAGAGGAAACTTCCATAGCGAATAGTCACTAATCCATTACTAGGCTCATGGAACAAATAAATGTAAAAGAGAAACTGGAACAAAGGGAAAGAATATTTCATGTTGAAATAGAGATGGTCCACAAATGTTATCCAGAATTAACGACAAGCATGATAGCATTAAATCAACTGAAAGAGTGAGTTTAGAAGAATCTCTCATAAAAGGATATTCATCCATGTTGGCCTTCTCACTTGCTTGATTGTGAAGGTGACTAAGTTGAGAGATCTCTTTTTCAAGCAGCTGGACAGAAATATGACGAACATACAACAGAAAATCAAACCCATGAACATCAAAGAACAGTACAGTGCTAATATAGATCAATAACATGACAAAATATGAAAAGAATCAGAACTGTCTTACATGTAAATTGCCATAATGCTCTAAAATATAACTGACCCAAAGGCTCGAGCAACATTGCCCAGGCCAATAATTAATTATTAAATGAAAATTTTAGGAGTCTATTAGACAAGAACTTGAACCTAAAGGTTCAAGAACTAAATTTGTAATATAACCAATAAATAATGGTGAAGCAAATTCTGACTAATATTTATCTATTTAATTCAAACTTCCAAACAGACGTTAATTTTTTTGAAATGTATATTTCAATTTCTACTCTATATAAAATGTGTTGATGTCAAAACTAAAACTTGGCTTGACAAGGCACGTGAAGTCCCTAGAGCAATGCCATGCTGAACAAGCATTTTACCTATAATAATAATCTAGAACATGAACCATATGGTTTAGTCCTCTCTTTAGAAATAGTTGGAAACTACAGGAACTGCATGTGACATAATTGATCTTTTCATAATTAATTTTCCTTATTACAAATTAAATAATTAATAAATAGTACCTGATTTTTTTTCCTGTAAAAACTAATGACTTGAAACATATTGTTTTAGTTAACAGTTATTTATCAAAAATAAAAATATTTGATATTTGAATATTTTAGACATTCGGTCAAGAAAAATACAAATGAAACAATAGAATAAATTATTATATTATTCTTCGATTTTATTAAGACTCTCTTGCTATTTCAAGGGGAAAAAATCATAAATAAAAAATTAATTAAGTGAAAATTTTCATCTTAAATAACATTGGAACTATTTCATAAATTTTAAAGAATTAATGTATATTTCATGCAAATTCATGTAAAATTGATTTCATTAAAGATCTGATTTTATTAAGACTCTCTTGCTATTTCAAGGGGAAAACATCAGAAATAAAAAATTAATTAAGTGAAAAAAATTTCGTCTGAAATAACATTGGAACTATCTCATAAATTTTAAAGAATTAATGTATATTTCATGCAAATTCATGTAAAATTGATTTCATTAAAGATCTGATTTTAATTGTTAAACTATTTTCACAACTTCAACAACTTAGCAAGTAAGATTCTAATATATCGTATCTAATGTTGAAGATAGATGTGATACACCAAGATGTTAGAAATGGAAACTAGGGTTAAATTATTCCGTATCATTGGTTTGAGAATATAGTCTTTAGATTCGGTGCTTATTTTACCTGATTGTTTTCCACATGGGCGAATTTATAAATTATTTTATCTTAAAAAGATCCTTAAGTTTTTTTAATCTTTGTAACGATGTTGCGCTGGCTAATACCAAAACTTTTTTATATTAAAGAAATAAGCTATTTTACCAAAGAAAAATATTTATATTCATTACATTATTAGTTTAATTAATAAATATATCAATAATATCTAAATTAAGAAGAAGAAAAAAGGTCTATAATAGATTTTAAATAAAGGACGAACTTCAAAAAAAATAAGTTCTTTTCCTAACCCTTTCTTCTATAGAGTATTAGATGTGTCTGGCCAAATATGTCAACAACCTAAGCTAATCCTTGAACATGCCAAGCCACCCTAACACCTCTAACCCCTCCCCCCCAAAAAAATATATATACACATACACACTATGTAATACAGAATACTATTTAATTAAGCATCATAATTGACAGAAGAGAGGTTGAACTCACATCATTAATCTTCAATGCATGAAGTTCCCTTCCTTTTTCCAGAATTTCACCCTGCAGCAAAAACAGACATGTCTATAGATAACGCAATCTCCATAAAAGTAAGCCACAATAGCAAAATAGGCTGAATATAAAAAGAGCTGTAGATAATGCAATCTTACAACGCTGAAACGCTTGACAAGCCCACACTTTATGCTCCGGCGTAGACGCCTACATTCTTCCTGAGTACATACTAATACATCAATACCACAGAAATGGTAAAATGCATATGTTTTTCTTAAAATTTACAAAATGACATGATGTGTCGATGTCATGTCTCCATCAGATTCTCAAATCATATCAAAGAGGTGGTCACAAGCAATCAATAATGCCACTTCAAACTAGACAAGTTAATAAAAAGATGATGCACGAACCCCATAATTAACAGTGATCCGGGGTATAACTTCTATGAGAAAGTATCTCAAGCATTGCTTACAAAAGTTGGTGTCTGTTTTATTTTTCCTAATTTGAGCCAGAAACATGTAGTTTCATTATCCAAGCAATTATCTTCACATAAATAGTCTTCTAACCATGAATTAAGTTCACATTGTTTGTTGAGTTTCTTAATCTACATCCCACTCAGTCTCCAGCAGAAATGATAATTCAGTCTTTCTTTTTGGAAATAAGATGAGAAGCCAATATTTGAGACTAAACACGAGAAAATAATAACCATGGGCTTTTCCTGCTCAAACAATTATTTTCTAAAAACAAGATACGAATCCTGAGCATGAGGCAAGGATCCAACTTAGAATGTGTGGAAGTGTTATCTACTTTAAATGGCCCAAACTGGAAGCAAAACTGTACGACCAGTACATTTAGTGATTACCATACAAGATGAAGGATGCTCTTTAAAAGATTCCGGACAGAGAGAAATAAACTGACTATAAAACCCAGCCCGTGAGAACTTCATAGACAGATCATTCAGCTTTACACGTAATTTATAACAGATGTATGCTCACTTATTATGAAAACCAAAGAAATTAGAGATGTAAGCATGAGAATTAAATCTGAGTTAAATAAATTTAATAAATATGTAACCACCATTAAAGTATCAGTCAACCGACTTCAAACTAGCCATATGGTTTTAAAAGAACAATGAAAATATAAAATTTCAATTAACACGGCAAGTAATAACCTCAGAAAATTCTTGGTTAGAAATCCCATCAATGGACACGGTCTCTCTCTTGTCCAAGTTCAGTATATCTAGCATCACATCAGTTGTTTTCTCATCAATTGTATATGGTGTAGAGATCTTGCTTATGCCTGTTCACACCAGCGAGATGTTAAAGTTGAGAGTAAAACAATAATAATTCAATGTCATATCAAGCATTAATATTGATATTAATACCTACAACTTGGACAAGCCTATGAAAATCATGCTTTTCATCATTATTTGGAATCTGTATTCGCACAATTGAGCCTACAACCATTTCATTAAGTTTTTTGTCATCATCAATTAGGCTCACTATCAAATCACGCCGCAAGTAAATCAAGTTTATGTTCTGAACATCAATTGCTGCATATTCATCTGCATTTAACTGTTGCCTGCTCTCATCATCTTTCTCGCGTATTTTACGCTTTCTTTCACAAGCATCCACTAGTTCGCTATCATACTTCTCTTTGCTTTCAACTGGATTGATCACTACATCAGCTCCTGTGCTAGTTACATTATCAGCTGCAGTTTCTTTTGCATGAATGTGAGATTCAAGAAGATTTAGCATCTCAAAGTGACCTATACAGGATTTCCCAAATAGATTGATAAGTCTCAAGTCACAAATAATTTGGCATTGCTGTAGAGGATCGCGAAGATTGTTTCTCTTCACATACTCCAGCAATAAAGCTTGGACATCAAATGGTGAAATCCTGGTCGTGTCACCATTTCTCATATGTGCAACAAAGTCCAGGAGCTCCTTAGTTGCCCATTTTGTGCTTCCGGAAAATTGTGTCCCCTCATTACCACATGGTCTGTCCATTGTGGAACTGAATTTATTCCGAGAACTCTGCTGCCTGGTAGGCCTTTTCCTCTGCGATTTTAAGCTTCTAAATGAATTATGAGAACCATGATCTTTATCAATACTACCATCATGAAGCTCACTCACCTCATGAGCCATGATAGTGCTCCCTTTCCATGGATTCTTAGCTCGAATCAACTCATCTACAGTTAAAGAGAGTTTTTCCTTTAAATAAATCCAATACACTTTAAAAAGATATTCCCAGCTAGTTTTGTCGTCAAAATCCACTTGGACCTGCATATTTAAGAACCGCTTTTTCTTTTATTGAATGTTAAGAACAAAATAAAAGGCATAAATTAGGAACTACCATACAGAAAATGGCTAATAAATACATCTCTTAACAAGTTCCAAGTACAAGACTAATACCATGTACAACTAGGAGAGTTTATCGCCAGGCACAGATAAAAGATTGAATGTTAATCTCAAACCAAGAATCAGTTGTGTGAAACACAAAGCAAAGATGGTTTTTCTTGTGTGTGCAACTGTACATACATATGTCACGTAATGAATGCATTTCTTCATATTCTCTACTATCAAATTGAAAAAATTAAGTAGAATTAAGAAATAAAAATGAATCATCACTCATGCATAGTCAAGAAGATGATATCAAATCTTTGCATACCACTTCTCCGTCAGGTGTGCTCTTCTCGATAAGCATTATTATTTTCATACATGAACCACAGAATCCCTTGCTTCCCCTAACACACTGGTAATCAGCACCTTTAGTGCATCCTTTACACAGAGAAAACGGGCACGTATAGCACATATAATAGGAAGCCTTCTGACAATTACTGCATATATGCCATCCTGCACAATGATGAAAAAGATTGCATCTTGAATTCTAGAAGATAGTGAATCTTCGGTGGACAACTTCTAATGACTTCTAGTCCCACTAGAAGTGCATGAAGAAGCCTAGTGCAGAAACTAACACCCAGAAAACAAAAGAAATACAAAAAGCAACATACCACAGTTCCATTTAGCTTTGGATCGAAAGAATGATTCATCCCGCTTGATGCATGACGGATGATACGCCTTCGGACAACCTCTGTCAAGAAACAAAACGTGAAACCCGATTCTAAGGGGAAACGATTTTCAAACACACTACAAGCCAGCACATGCAGGGAGTAACAGATAACGAAACGGAGAAAAATTGAGTTCAAACTGCAATCTAATAATATGTTCAATTAAGGAAATTCTCTCTCACCTGAGATAGACAAAATAAGAATTTTACTGATTTCGCCTCCACACCTCAAATAAATAAAGATATATTCATTTGAGCAAGTATTATAACAACAACTGCTAATCTTACGGCAAAACAGCCACCTACCAAATCAAGCTTGAGCGTGATGAAGTCGGAATTCCCTAAATAGAGGGCGAGGCGCAAGGTAACGAATCCATAAATTAAAAGTACAAAAATCTTTCCACTTTCCCGAAACCCACGGCGAACCACAATTAATTAGCAAGAAGCAGCAGAAATCAAATTATGGAAAAAAAAAAAAGTCCACTCACCGGCGATCACAGAGCACGAGGCTCCCACCATCGAAGCATATAAAACACACATCCTCCTCATCCTTCTTCTGCCTGGGCGGCGGCGGCAGCGTCTTGACATGACCCCGAGGCGGGCGACCTCGCTTCCGAATCCCCAAACTCTTCTCCGCAACCTTATCGTTGAATTTTCCATTCACCTTGGCGGCGGGTGAAGAAGCAGCGGCATCGTGGCAATGATCGACGTCCATGGGGTGGGGAGCCGGCACCACCGAATTCCCGGAAACCGCGTCCCCATCTTGAGGGAGTTTCTGCAAATCGAGAGGAGGCTGATCTTGGGGTATGTCCATAAGCAGGAGCAGAAGCAGGAGCAGGAGCAGAAGCAGAAGCAGAGAGATTGGAATTGGGAAAGTGAAAGAAGGAATTGAGTTTGACAACCCTAAGTTGTGGCGATTGGCGAAGGCAACGCAACGAAGCCTTTGCGTGGTCGGTCTGGTCAGGCCACAGGGCACTCTGAATTGGAAATGGACTGGGTGAGGATGTGACAGCCCATTTTGTTTATTCGCCTTTTTTTTATTATTACTATTTTTTTTTTTTTACAGTCTGACCAGATGAGAGAGAGGAGAGAAGATTGAGTACGTAAAGTTAGGGAGGGACCGACCCCACCCGACGGAAAATTATGCCCTTTTTTTTTTTTTTTTGCCAAATTTTGAAAATAAGCATTTCTTTCCTATCCTATTCTATTTGTTGATTATTATATTGGAAGGCTAAATTTGACACAAATTCTAGGTGAGATCAAGATGTATTACATTTATTATCAACATCCTTTCTTGTATGGTTGATGTTAGGGGTAAAACGAACCAGTGGAACCAACCGAATCTTAAAAGGTGTAGGCTTGACCCATGGGTCAGGGTTGAGGTTGAGTTGGCTCATAGGTCGAGTCCCTATACCTAGCTTGCGTGAGATATGAGTCATGCCTGATATATCCATCTTGGTTGGTTAAGTTGGGTGATCTTGATTTCCTTATGACTTCAATAATTCATTCAAATATGAACAAGATATATATATAGTACTACAAGACTTACATTGTACATAGCACAAAAATTTACTTTGTACCTAACACATAATCTGATCTAAGTTAGTACCACATCGATGTACGCATTTTCTATTATTGATTTGTCTCACATGAAGATTGAGATTGATTTGTTAATTACTAGGTATATTATAGTGATATATAGCTTAACGATAATTGATATATATTTTCAACCAAGTTATATTATAATAAGTGTTGTTTTTCTCTTGTAGACGGTAAAATATTTGTATAGATGATATAACCAATGACATCAAGGAGTTTGAATAAATGATTTTTGGCACGAAGATTCATGCTCTAGTCACTTTGCTGAATGAATTGTTACTTTATTTTTGAATAATTTGAAACTAGTGGGATGACTAATAAAGCATAAATATTACAAAAGTTTTAAAACTATAATAAAAATTAAATTACAAAAATGCTCCAATCTTTGCCCACCTTGAAATCAAAACTAGAATTAAATGGTAAACTCTATCAAAAGATAAATTAAGTATTATAAAACTATTACTTTTTGCAAAATGTACATTTTCTTATAAATAAAAATCATGTTGAAATCAAGTATTGGGTGGCATGCTTCAAAAAAAAATTAAAAAAAGAGTTAATGCAAACAAGAATAGAGTGTTTTGGTAAGAAAAATTACAAAGTTAGAGTGCTTGATGCAGGAAGCATAGAGATTACTAATAATGGTCCTGAATTAGCAACCAAAAAAAAGTGGACCCTAAATTTGTATATCCGACTCTAAAACTTTAATAAATAATTAAAAGTAGTATATGCTCCTTAAACTATGGTAGGAAAATAATATAATTAAAAATAAACAAATCAACCCATAAAAAACAAACCATGTCTATATCTAAACTCAACCATAAAATAAAGTAACTAAAAATTCGTAAAACATTGCACCAAGTCAATCGTAATTAATGTCAAATCCAACTAAAACCCCCCAAAAAAAGTAGCCCAATATTGGCTCATGAATGTTCACATTTACCTAAAAAAAGTGTTATATTTATTAGAACTAAAAAATTGAAATTGATTAAATTTAACGAAATAAAAGACAAAAGGAACAAAAATAATATTTGTTAAGAAAAATTAAATAATATCATTGAAATTGTAAAGGAGGTGAGGTTTGGAGGTTCATACTCGTCCCTAAAATTAAATGAAGTTTTTTTTATTACTTTTTATTGGGTTCTTCAATGGTGGATTCCATGATTCCATCATCGATACAATGTGATGAAATTCCTTAATAAAAATATTCATATTTGGCTGGATTGTGTACCTATTCATTGTTTAAAAAATAAAGTAGATTTTTTTTAATTTAAATATTATTCTAGTGATTGTACCCAAACAATTTTTTAGTTTATGTATTTTTTCACCTTTACTTTGTACATACTTGTTTCGATGGCTGTAATTTTAAAAGGCAACCATTTAAGTCTTATTAACGATGGTAGAATCAATTTTTAAAATGTAGTCATAACTTTATATTATAGAATTTGCATTTATATAGTAATCGTGTCAAAATTTTTTAAATGGTAACTTTTAAAGCATCAGGACTAACGATGAATGCTTGCAGAGAGAGGATAAAGACTAAAGTGACAAAAACTAAAAGCACACCAAGGATGTTTTGAAAGTATAGCCAACATGAAAACAAGTCAGTGATTAAGAGCCTATTTGATCGGCAATTTGAATTTTGTTTCTTGTTTTAGATTTACTGAATCAAATGGATTCGACTAGTATGCGTCTGTTAGCATTTGACACATTTGTTTTTTAAAACTGTTTTCGAATTCTATAATCCAAACCCATAAAATTCTGTAAACAACATTTTTATGTTTTCATAATTTTCAGATTTTGAATTTGAAACGTGCAGAATTACATTAAAAATAAAAGATAAAACTTTGATAAATATATTATGTTATATTATAAACTCATTTTATTTTTGTTAAAATTAAAACACTTAAAATATAATATATTATAAATTATATAATATTGTAAAATAATAATTATAAATTTTTTAATAAAAATGTCAATAAAATTAATTAATATTATTTAGATGAAACTAAATATTTAATTCGTAACTACTCCTAGTTACAAATATAATGTTAAACCTATTTTGAATTATTTTTTAAATTGAGATTCAATTTTCAAGTATGTTATTAAACACCTATCTAAAAATACCGAAGATAAACAATATAACCCTCATTTTTATTGAATCTATTGTTTTCATATTTATATTGTAACCAAACACATAGTTCAATTTATAACCAAGATTTTAAATGCCTGTCGATAGAAATATCGATGTCTTAATTTCATGGAAATATCGATAAAATATCGATGTCGATGGATATTTCTGTAAAAGTTAGAAAAATTAAAAAATCATAAAAAATATTTAAATTAACAAATAAACATATTTCTATTTCTAAATTAGTTAACAATAATTAATATTATGTATATATTAGTGACATTTTGTTGATATTTTTTATATTTTGTCGATTTTCTTGTATTATGATAGAACTGTCGATTCACCCCTCGTGTCAATATGATAAACGGATATTTATAACCATGTTTATAACCAAACATAGTTCTAAATATCCATCGACACGCCGACATTTCCATCGACATATCCATATTTGTATGGGTTCAATATGAGGGGTGAATCAACATTTTCATTATAGTACAAGAAAATCGACAAAATATGAAAAATATCAACAAAATGTCACTAATATATATATATATATATAATATTAATATTGATTATTTTTAACTAATTTAGATTTTTTGAAAAAAATTTATTTATTCATTTAAATATTTTTTACGTTTTTAAATTCTTCTAACTTTTAACATAAATATCCATCCAGTTGTTTATAACTGCTATTTTGATGGGACGCGTTAGGGAATAAATAAAGAAAAAAAAATAATGAGGGGTTGAAAATATAAAGGGCAGTGGTCAAACGCGGCTGTGGTGAATGGTGACGGAGCAGCCTCGAGCACCACGTGGGTGCGAAGCAGACTGTCAATTGGAAACTTGGCCCACAAAATTCCCTTTCTTTCGAACTAAAACGCTTTAAACATTTTTTCCCCTTTCTTCCTTCTTTATTGTTATTGTTTTTTCCTCTCTCTCTATCCTTTTTTTTTGTTTTTTCTTTCATCTAATTATAACATTTTTCTCATTTACTATTTTTACTTCTTTTTTCCAAACTATTACTTATAAATTAACGTTTTCAAATTCTCACATTATATGGCGTCATGAGTGAATGAAAAAAATAAAATGAAAAAAAAAAGAGACGTTGTTACTAATCAAATAGTAATGGTTCGATTTTCACTACCTGATTTTTTAACTTTTATTAAATAATCACAATTTAAAGGGTTTTGAGTTAAATGAATCTCTCTAAACAAATTCGAATATTTGATTTTTATAAAATAGATGTATAATACTTTATTCAATTGAATAGTAGACATATATTTTAAATAATACATTTAAATATTCCAAGTTCATTTAACAAAAAGATTATGTGATGCCGTACGAATTTTGTTTTAGGCCACACATATCAAAATCTCATGTATTGAATGTGGAATAAGCATTATTATATCTAATGTCCATATGAAAATTCTATTTGCTTTTTTTTTTCTTCATTGGACATTTGTGAAAATCCTTGGTCAACATCGAAATAAAATAAATGTGAAAATTTAAGATTAAAATATGATTTGAATATATTGGTTTTTTTAGTGGAGTAGAAATTTGAACTTCATATGGGAGATCGATCTCACAATTTGGTTGGAGATGTATGCTAATTACACTAAACTTTGTTCGTTCTGCACGTTATTTTATATTTTAATTGGCTAAACTAAGGGTTCAAATTGACATTTAAATCTATTATTTTAGATGTGAACGTATTGTAATACCGTAATTTTCTTAACATTTTATGTTTTACAGTTTTTATTTTTCAAGAAAGAAAACCAAAAAAACATGTTTTATAAGTGATTTTATTTCTTTTATCTATTAAAAAATCAAATTTTTTCTTGAAAAAAATTTTAAAATATATTTTAAAATATTGTGTTTTATTTGATTTTTATTTAGATTTTTATTATGCATTTTCTTAAGTAAAAAATGATAAAACAAAGCTTTTTCAATGAAAAATTAGAAGGGAAAAAAAAGAAAGAAAAGAAACTATATATTTTTGCTTCTTCCATTTATATACAAGTTTGAACATTTTTTCGATAATAAAAGACAATATAAATAATTTTTTTAGTTCAACCAAGTGAGTTAGGAGTTGAAATTTCAACTTTAGAAAATGTATCCATCTAATAAGTATCTATTATAGTTATACTTATATTCATACCAACAACAAATTATTAACATGCACACATTTTTTTATGAATGGAAACATGATATATAAAGTGTTTCAGGTAAATAATCAGAAGCAAACCTATGAAGACTCGTGTCCAAAGTTTTTTTAGTACATCAGCATGTGAGGACGAGATTC